AGAAATGGGCACCTTCATGCAGTTCACAAAATTGCAGGCCAAGATATCGGCGGGATAAAGATTGCACGTCATCTGCTATCTGTCAAAAAATGCTAGCATTACACATATATATGTGTATGTATTCATATAGTATATATATATATGGTATGCATATATTATGATATATATATACTACTATTATATATATATGATTATACCCCCCCTAGTTAATTCCGATATATTATTATCAGTTGTGATGAGCCGAGGATCTTCGAATGAACTCGCGCCAACTTCTAGTATTGATATTGACAGAAGTGGCGCCCTCATCGCTGTTGCCACTTACGCACGCAAATGTGTATTGTACAAATATATGTGTTTATTACATGTGTAGTTCATGCATGTAAACATTGAAATGCATTTGAAAATGAAGTAGCAACGGTAAATGCGACAGACATTTGCAACATTCCAATTGTAACTGTAATATCCCCCATATACATGTTACGTTCTGCATGTCTTTAATTGCCGTTACATGAACTTCGATATGATTCGTAACTGACATATTTAAGTAAATCTATATTTAGGAGTCCCGACCTAAGTTTACCGGTTAGCTTCACCAGATGCATTTCCACCACCGAAATTGGGTGATACGAGGAAATGCTGCGGTTGTGCAAGGTAGAGGCTCTAGCTTGTAAAATGTGCTGAAAGACCATGACAGAGAAACTCTTACAGAGGCCATCGTTTAGAAACGGCTGTCGAAACGATGCTATGCTTCATGGAATGAATTATCCACACCATAAGACATATCAGCTGTTCGTGGATAACGTGATGCTTCCACATTTCTGGGACGGCCAATAAATTGACTTTTGCGCCAGAAATGAGGGACTCAACAGTGTAATCGAAGTCTGAAATTAGAAGTGTAGCCAAACCAAGACGAAGGAAGTACGAACTTTCCATACCATAGGTTATATTAGCAGAAAGTGGCCACTAGTATTTTGCAAGTAATTTGCTTGTGTGTGGCAATGGCTCCGAACGTAATAAAGCCATTATGTGATGAGGGTGTAGGAAATGTGCACAACAAAAAGTGGTTCTTCAATCATGAGAACTTCGCTGACAAGGCATAGTGAGACGGGAATTACGCGCCGGCTGCTCTCTGCGTGTGTCTCTGTCATAATTGGCCTTCATATGCATTTCTTTCACCATACAAGCACACTAGCACACAATTCTAGGAAGCATGCTAATGCACCTGATGCTAGTATTGCACACGTGAAAGCGTCGCATTGCAATGTCGTCCATTGATGCATTATTGTCGTCTTGTGCTATGACAATATTGTAGCATTATAGAGCCGTATAGAATTCGTCGAATTTCCAACAAATGTCATAGGCGTACTGGAATTCCAGCTGATCTAAAGTAACAGGAAAGTCGCGTAAGAAATAGCCACCTCAATACGTAGAAGGTTTGCTATAAACATCGCGACACTCCACGTTAACGCGCAGTCTCCCTGTAAAATACACACCCTCCCAGGTGACCGTACAGTCTTGCTGTACAATATACAGCGTCGCAGGTGACCGAACGGTCTCCCTGTATAATATACACCCTCCCACTCACCGCACAGTCTCCCTGTATAAGTATACCCCTCCACGTTCACGCGTTCAGCTTCTTCCTGGTATATAACACAGCCTCAAAGAGAAGGACACAGGTCCCTGGTATATAACACCCTGCCAGGTTACCGCACAGTTGTCTGTATTATATAGGACCCTCCCAGTCGTACGACAGTGTCCCGTGATAGTAACATGTTATGTGGGAAGTTCCGGTTATTGTACCTGTACACGATAATTTATGGGAGGGGGGTGGGGGCATGTAAGGTCGCTAATGGTTTTGCGGCTGTTATGTCAGTATGTCGCCAAGGTCGATCGTATACAACGAATTTTCCAGTGCAGCGGCCATGCACACGTGCACATGCACTCACGGAGCCGGTTTACGTCACCCGGCACGCAGCTGAATGTCGTGCCACACGCCACGTATCGCCAGTGTACGTCCCACGCACGCAGCACTGACGCACGTGTACGTGTGTGTGTGCTGATCCGTTGTGGTGTGTGTGTGTGTGTGTGTGTGTGTGGTGTGTGTGTGTTGTATGTGTGCTGTGTGTGTGTGCTTGTGTGATGTGTGTGTGTGTGTGTGATCTGGCTGTGCTGAATGTGCGTGTGTGTGTGTGTGTGTGTTGTTGACTTTCGGTGTGTATGTGTGTGTGTGTGCTGTGTTGTTGTGTGTGTGTGTGTGTGTGTGTGTGTGTGTGTGTGTGTATGATAGTGACTGAGTATGTGAGTGCTGGGGTGTGCGTGGTGTGTGTGTGTGTGTAGTCTGTGTGTCTTGTGCGCGCGCATGCGTGATGTAGTGTGTGTGGGCGTTGCGGCTGTTGTGCGTGCTGTGTGTGCACGTGCTGCGTGTTGACACCGCCATACACATAACACGCGCACGCGCAGACGTAAGTCACGAGTCGTCATTCACGTGTGTGCAACTCGGCAAAACGTTATTGAGCAGCAGATGTCCAAATCTTGTCATGTTTTGCTCCATTGTTTACTTACTAAGAAGCCTGTTGTCTGTATAATCAGATGAGGCATTCTAATTGGACAAGAGACAACAGACGGCCGAAGCCGAAGTAGCAGTCAAATAAAACTATAGACAGCTGAAAGCCCCAAGGAAAGGCTATTGCATATTTTGCTTTACTATTTGTAGGCGATATATTCCCACAAACATTTAATTCCACACTTATCTTTCCAGTACTCAATAAAGACATGCTTGTTATAATTACTGTTTCGCACCTACAGTCAATAATGTTTAGTCAGGTATCTTGTTTCTATGTTAACGTCATAACAATGTTGTGCGATATTTGCACAGATACTGGTAGGCAGCAAATGCTGCAGGAAATGGAGGATTTCATGGAAGCAAGACAGCTTTCGGCTGCAACCTGCAAGCAGCCGGCAAGTGAATTATCCCGCTTAAAACTGGCACTGTATTTCAATAGAATATTGCTTATGATGTACTTCAACGTTGCGAATACAGTATTCTTTAGAGCAAAGGTGGTAGAGAGTATTAATTTACATGGACATTTTATGCGAACATTTGCATTTAATGCCACATTAGAATTTGTTGTGTAATTCTAGATTGTAGAGGAAGAAGCACAAGGTCAGAAAGACCAGGAGATGAGTGCTACATGCAGAAACTACTAATTCAGTAAGTCTATGAATGCTAATGGCTACACTTAAGTCAATGAATCCACAGTTTCATTGTGATTACGCATGAAACTTCCGCGCAGGAAATTCTATTCTATCAAATATTGGAGGAAACATATACCCGGAAACATTGCAGCTACATTTCGTAAATGTGGACGGCATTTCAGTATTTTGAAGTTCAGGCAAAAGTCTATGGCCAGTGTTCTGTGCAATTGTGAATGTTCAACCTCTAATAGTTTCCCCTGTAGCCTTAAGATATGGAGACTCCAAGCCAACAGATTTGCAGTTTCTAAGAGATACAATAGAAGAGCTAAACAACCTCATTCAGAATGGTGTAGAAGATGGTCACAGAACAGTTGCCATTACCCCGAGGTGCATTGTTTGTGACGCCCCAGCGAAGGCCCTACTAGTGAAAGGGACGAAGTTATACTCAGGCTATTTCGGTTGTGATAAATGTGCTGAGAGAGGTGCCTGGCTTGGTAGGGTTACATACCCGCAGATTGCTAACATTGAGCTTCGCACCGACACATCGTCCAGGCACCAGTGCAACGAAGAACATCACCACGTCGTGTGCCCCTTGTCTGACTTGCCCATAGATATGGTGGAATCGTTCCCAATCGATTACATGCACCAGCTATGTGTTGGTGTGATGAAGAACTTAGTTCTGCTATGGATGAGAGGTAGTAACGATGAGGAAATGTCAGCCTGTCAAATTGATGAAGTCAGCAAGAAATGGATTGAACTGAAAACATTTATCCCTCGCAATTTTGCCCGTAAGCCGTGAAGTTGATCAGATGTCGATAGATGGAAAGCCACAGAACACAGGCAGTTCTTGCTGTATACAGGGAACATTGCATTGCGAGGTATATTGAGAGCAGACTTGTTTGAGCACTTCATGATTCTGAGTGTTGCCACCTCCATTGTTGTCTGCCCACAACTTGCTCCAACCTACAGAGGTTATGCTCATGAAGTGTTAGTGCACTTTGTTGCACAGGGCTGCAAGTTGTATGGCAATGAATTCCTAGTGTATACAATGTGCATTGTTCCATTCATTTGGCTGCAGATGTGAAGCAATATGGCTGTTTAGACAACTTCAGTGCTTCTCCATGTGAAAACTACATGCAGCAGTTAAACACGATGGTTCGTTCTGGCAGAAACCCCGTTGCACAAATAGCGAAGCGATTAAGTGAGTCAACTGTTGTGAAGACGACCCAACAGCAAGGCAGTAGCTGTAACATTTAAGAGAAGAAACCAAAGAATGGCTACGTTGTTAGCGATTCTTCCTGCTGTGAAGTTGTGGATATTACACGTCAAGTTGATGAAGACGGTGACCAAATGTTTCTGTGTAGAGTTTATAAGAGCACTGAAGCATTATTTCAGCAGCCTTGTGACTCTCGCTTCATTGACACACGTAGCGTGAGTGACGGAAATGCCTGCATGGAAATGCTTCGAGCAAGATACCTAACGAAGAAAGGTATTGTAATAGAGCAGCAGGATGCAATGCTTGCCTTCCTGGCAGTGTTGCATACATGTTGCATGTACATGATCAGTAAGTGATCACAGCTGCTGATTGTTTGAGATGATTGTAATATGGAAATATGTACATGTACATTTCTTTATATTCTAATAGAGCATGTCGAAATGTGATTTATGTTCTTGTGAATTCAGATTGAATCTCGGTGGTTGCACACTTGTGACACTTGTAGTATATGTTAATTGCCATACACTCTTGTCAAGCCAACTGTAGCTTTAACAGAAGTCTTTTGAAGTTTGGTAACAGAACAATGTCTATCTTTCACATCACTGGATTTGCTGTCGTGGAATTTGTAGACGAGAAGGCGGTTGAGGTTATCCACAAGTGATGGATAGAAAGAAGGGGCGAGGTTAGTATATCATATATGTATTCTTTCGATATGAGTATGATATGCATGCATGTAGGGACTGTATCAGTGGCAATGAACATGGTTAATGCGCAGGACTAAGTTCATGAATCGGCATGTATTTTGACGCTGTGACAATGTTTATTGTAAAGTGATGTCGTGTATCTACAAAAGGTGTCCGACATTGATTGAAAAGTTCAATTGAATTTATAATTATACTACAACACTATAATGATATAATTGTTTGTATATGTTCAGGTTCTGTACTGCTACTGGGCCAGAAATGACGTTGCTGTACGTGTAAGGAGAGAGGAATTGCCGGACAAGGAGAAATGGACTAGGCACCAAATCAGAGTGTTTCCATACACAGGTGAAAGTTAAGCTTGTATTTGTGTACATAACATTTGTGTATCATCTATGTTCAATGCATTTTCTATTTAAATCTTTGTTGAACGAGCACGTCTTCTTTGACATGTAGAAAGCTATGGGAAATTTAAGCCCTGAAGCAAGCCAGGTTGGCGGAGGAGACATGAAATTTGGAATGTGGTGGTGAGGAGGAGCCATGCACAAGAAAAAGAAAGGTTCCACGTCGCTATGAATTTTCAGAGAGTGGACCTGCTGATGGTGTGTTTTCATACAGCAGACAATGACTTGTTCTTTTGTGACCTCATGGGCTATGCAGATGTGTGTGCGTGGGGATTTTCAATTGGGCCGTTTGCTCATCTGTTCTAATACTGGACAAGGCTCATGTTATTCATCGAGAACAGTGTGAGCAAGTTAGTTGCAACATGTTTATGCCCTCATACCATACGTTAATGGTCTATAACTCCGTACATTTATAAAGCTTTCAGCTTATTTATACATTCTATATTGTGTTGTTTTCCACAGACAAACGGTTCAGTTCATTTCTAATGTAGTATAGATTACATATCCTGATCGTTCCAATTCTACAATTATAGATGAAGGAGAATTCGTAGGAAACAGGTCTAAAACATCCACTTCATTGCCGCTACCAAGGGAGCCAAATTTTGTGCTGACAGATGTCAGCCCCTCTCAAGCTACTTGTAGCTCGTTCATCGATGGTATGCCATTATAGATATATATATTCATTTACTCACCTAGCTGTACGATTGATTTCGAATGTTTCAAGTGTTGTTGATTCATGTAAGAATGAGAGTACCCAATAGCAATGCAGAAAGGTATGAATTGTACCATCGTTACAAGCTTCTATCCTATTCAATTATAACATTCGAAACCTTAACATGGCAATATCTTTTAAATTTTGTAACGAACTGTTTTACCCAACTTTAAGCTGTTGTGTATATTCATTTTCACATGCAAAGGTGGAGAAAGTACAGAAAGGATGACGAGCCAACATCCATCGAAACACAATGGCATGCGCACTGAGGCCACACCACCTAGACCTGCCCCCATGTTGGCATGTAGCCTCCACTCCAGGCCGGTGCATGATAGTAAGTGCTTTGATATATGTTTGAAGTGCTCTCAACAGGGCAAAAAAGACTTCAATAAGATAACAGAAATGCTTGTAATGGGTAATTTCATGTCAGATTAACCAATGCTTGTAACTTCAGATAGATTTGGATAAAATTAAACATACCGCACCAACCTTGATAGATCTTGAGAGATCTTGAGGTTGCATCATACAACCTGTATTGATCTCATCATGGTGTATCAACATAATTTTAGGGTGGGAAATTCACGATGGCTCAGTGGTTTCTTGATCTATCTTGGCTTAGAATAGTTGACACTTTGTGTAAATTTTCTAACTTTTACGTCAAAATGTTGTACATTACTGCAGGGATTGATTTATAAGTTGGTCAGTGGGATAAAAGATCGAAAGAATAATGAATTAGCTTGGGGGAATTATTGTGCTGGAAATAATTATACCGGATACTCCAAGGAATTAGCTTGCTACAATCCATGCTTCCTGTACTGAAATTGTCAATTTCTAATTTGATGGATATGTGTATGTATATAGGCTTAAAGAAAACTAGGTCACTATGTGCTATACGTCAAAATCTCGGCGATGGCTGCCGCACGATTTGTGTAAATATTGTGAGCTCGATATGTTGTGAAATTTACTGGGCGACATGGTACAGGCGTTCCGCTTGTATATGCTGAATGATACAGTAATCATGTACATGCATTTTCCATTAGGGCCTAAATGTATTTTATTTCTTTAGATGTCTGCTGAGGAATCACTTCATTTTGCTAATGTGCTATACAAGGATGAGTACAAGGAAACCAGTTCAGTTATCCCGATAAACTGGATGAAAGGAGGAATGTTATATTGGCCTCCAGCATCAACAAAAAATCCGTATTCTTTGTTGAGAAATTGTGCAGAGCGAGATGCATGGTGGGATGCATATACAATTTTAAAAGTAAAAGGTTTTCTCCGTAAGTACCATTACCATGTTATATACTGTCCTTTATTACATTCATTTCTATGTATGAACACATTGGATCGCTCCCTTAAAACACAGTTTCACATGTTAAATATAATGAACACGTTATGGTGGAAGATGTTCATGGAATAGATTGTAATTCATAAGTGCTATAATTTTGTGTTCAGTGATGTATTGCACAATTATTTTATGCATTAATTTAATACATTTCGTTGGCTTTCAGATACACGTAACGAAGCTGAGAACGTGGAGGACTCGACGGCCACTGAGCTGGAGTTGCAAGATGAACCATCGTCGAAGCGACGCAAAATGAAAGCAGCATCAGATCCACAATATGAATGCAATTTCGACGGTATTTAAGTTTTTTTTCAAATTTTCGAAATATGCGAATACAGATGTACGAACTCCAGATCTCTTCAAATGCACAAGCACTCACACGGGAGAGAAGCCGTATGCGTGCGATAGCTGTACGTACAGGTCTGCAAACCCCAGTAATTTCAAGAAGCATAAGCGCACTCACACACACACACACGAACGCTCCAAGGACTACACAGTCTTCAACACACCCTTCGGTAGATTTCGGTACAGAAGATTGCCAATGGGAATCACATCCGCACCAGAATTGTTTCAAAGGATCTTCGGAGACATCTTCGAAGGTTAGAAGGCTTAGAGAAAATTGTGGATGATTCCTAGTAAGCGGAGACACAATAGACGAACATAACAAGACACTTAGAGAGACACTAGAAGAGCAAGAGAGAACAATGTGGACATTTCACTGACGAAACTGCAGCTATGTCGACATGAAGTGAAATACTCCGGACACCAGTTCACGGAAAATGGAAACAATGATCGATGAAGAGAAGATCACAGCGATAGTGGGAATGCCACAACCAAGTCAGTACCAGACATAGAGGACTAATTGGATGGTGACATACGTAGCGAAAGTATCTTAAAAACTTGTCCTCAGCCACAAGAGCCATTGAGAGACCTGATCAAGGAATCAAGGACATAGACTTCGAATGCATTTTGACAAGATCCATGAAGACGCGTTCAGTCAGATCAAGAAGCTGTTAACCAGTGCACCAGTTACTTCGATACTACAGCGGGAAGAGCCAGTAACGATTTTCAGGAGACGCCAGTCAATCCGGAATAGGATGTGTCCTGTTGCAAGATCAGCGACCAGTGGCATATGGGTCCAAGGCATTGACAACCGCTGAATACGCGTATGCACAGATTGAGAAGGAATTGTTGGCAATTGTGTTTGCATTCAAGAAATTCCACACATACGTGTACGGACGGACAGATGTCACTGTCGAGACAGACCATTTGCCCCTGATCAGAATCTTCCAGAAGCCATTACATCAAGTTCCACTCCGTTTACAGAAGATGAGGATGAGACTACAAGGATACGACTTTACCTTAGTGCACAAAAGGGAACAGAAATTCCAGTTGCAGATGCACTGAGCCGTGCGCACGTCAACGAACCAGGTCCGATCCTTACTGGAGAAGACTCGCACATTTTTCTAACAAGATTGGAAGAACTAAATAGCGTACAACAGACAAGCTCTCCAAGGATGCGAACAGATCAGAGAGAAACTGCACAAGATTCTGAGCTGAAATTACTGAGCCACAATGTGAAATCGCCGTCAGGATGGCCCGAGGACAAGAGAAAACTTGATCCGAGAATCGCAGCGTATCATGACTTTCGAGATGCAATGAACATCGCGGATGGAGTAGTCTTCAAGGGGACAAGAATCGTGATACCACAGACAATGAGGACAACAGCCATGGAGATGTTACATGCTGCCCATCAAGGAATGGCTAAAGACCAAACAGTTGGCAAGAGACCTCCTTTACTGGCCAGGGATTTAAAAAGACAGATAGAAGATACAATTCTAGATGTGGACCGTGTCAAGAACACAGAGCCGACAACAGAAGGAACCCCTGATGCCAATGCCAATACCAACAAGACCATGGGAACATGTAGGAATGGATCTGTTTGACTGTCTTCAGAGCAAATGGCTGATTTGCATAGCGGAGAAATATTATGACGACACGTAAAACAGTTGGAACCACTGAAGCATATGACACATCGAGTGAGGAGCAAAGAGACGTTGGAAATTAGCAGAGCTTATTCCAGATCAACGGATGTAGGCCACCCCAGATCATACAGGATAAGGCTGCCGAGTGAAGGGTCACTAGGAGAAATCGACGTGATCTCTTGAGGACCAAGGAACACTACACACCGCTCCGAGATAGAGGTGATGAACCTCGAGATGATGGAATTGCAACTATGGCACAGGCCATTGTTGACAGAACTCCACCCCAAATCCCCACCTAACCTGTCCAACTACCTATAGCTCAACCTCAAACCGCACAACATGGTAATTGTAGGCGAACATGAGTCAAAATGTGAGTCAGCTCAAAAGCCTTCAGTTGTCACTAGGTCAGGGAGAATTTCCAGACCACCTCAGAGTTGTCAGATTTTATGAGATAGACAAAATGAGCGAAGGACAAGGGAAGACAAATTCAGAGTTAAGATAATATAATTATGTTTATTAAGACAAGCATTTCATGGTTAATGAACCTATGCAAGAGCATGTGATTTACAGAGTTTAGTTGAAGGTTAGTTCGTAGTGAATTTAAAAAAACAAAAAACAACAACAAATGTGTTTGTTTATTTGGCATACTCGAACACTTTGTGGAATTTGGAACGGTTTATTTTTTGTAAGGAAGAGGATGTCATGTATTGCGTCCACGAGATGGCGTGACGAGGCTAGAATAAAACAAGTTGAGTGACTGCCAAAATGCCGGGCATGTTTTGTCTGTGAACCTACACAGAAACACTTGAATAGATACACAGAAACACTTGGACAGAGGCCAAGACATAACACAGAGGCCAAGACATAACACAAAGTACCTCATTGATGAAGTTCTACTTACAGTCAATGGCATGTTGCTATAGAGGAAACAAGCAATATGCTGCACGTTGTTTTACAGAGACATGTTCAGAAACAGCTGAAGAAACAGTTGCGGAAAGAAGAGAACGACATGAGGGGACATGATGGGAAAGCAGAAGACAATAATGTCCCTTTACATCGACAAGTATGGATTTGTCTATCTATGGGAAGTTAGCTGTGAAACTAAGAAATAGGGCACCTCATGCATTCAACCAAAATTGCAGGCAAGATATACGGGGAAAGATTGCACGTCAATTCTGTATCTGTCAAATAAAATGTAGCATACACATATATATGTGTATGTATTCATATATATATATATATGTATGCATATAATATAGATATATATATATACATATATATCATATATACATACTTGATATATATACATATATATATATATATGTAAGTGTTGATGAGCCGGGGACTTCGAATGAAACTCGCGCCCACTTCAGTATTGCATATTGAAGAAGTGGCGCCCTATCGTGTGCACTTACGCACGAAATTGTATTGTAACAAATATTGTGTTTATACATTGTATTCATGTGTAACATTGAAATGCATGTAAAAATGAAGAACGGTAAATGCGACAGACATTTGCAACATTTCCAATTGTAACTGGAAATATCCCCCAATATGTACGTTCTGCAGTTCTTAATGCCATTAACATGAACTTCGATATGATTCATAACTGCACATTTAAGTAAATATGTAGGAATACCACGACCATAAGTTAGCTGGTAAGTTCACCAGATAGCATTTCACACCACCGAAATTGGGTGATACGAGGAAATGCTGCGATTGTGCAAGGTAAGAGGCTCTTAGCTTGTAAAATGTGCTGAAAGACCATGACAGAGAAAACTCTTACAGAGGCTTCCATCGTTTAGAAACGGCTGAAACGATGCTATGCTTCATGGAATGAATATCCCACATCATAAGACAATATCAGCTGTTCGTTGATAACGTGATGCTTTCCACATTTCTGGGGCGAATAAATTGATTGCGCACAGAAATGAGACCT